ATTCTGACATTTGCACTATTGAGAGGTTTGTTCGTTTGATGTTTAACACCGCAGTCAGCAATAATACTGGTATATGTAGTGCAGTGGCTTAGGTCCGATTTTGAGGTTGATCGTTACATGCCGGACTAAAGCATGAAACTTTGCATAGTGCTGGGGAATATCATGATAAAACATATTTTCGGGGGGTGCCCGATTTTTGGGGAACATTTTCCGAAAAATTCAAGATGGCGTCCAAGATGGCCGCCAAAAATCAAGGATTTCCAATTTTAACACTATCTAACTTTTCCCCGCTGGTTTTATAGCAGAATACCTTGCACAGTGTTTGGGAACATAATGATAAAACATATTGTTTGGGTGTGCCCGAATTTTTGGGCCCATTTTCCCAAAAATCCAAGATGGCGTCCAAGATGGCCCCCCTAAAAGCAAGGATTTCCAATTCTAACACTATTGTGACTTTACCCCGCTGGATTAAAGCAGAAAACCTTGCACAGTGCTAGGGAACATCGTGATAAAGCATATTTGGGGGATGTGCCTGAATATTTAGGCTAAATTACAAAAAAATCCAAGATGGCCACCAAAAATCAAAGAGTGCTGAAGTCCACCCAGAATGGTCGCCGTATGTGAGAAATATTCGCCGTTCAAAGGGCTATTTTTAATACTTTCAAGAAATATAACAAACAGGATTTATCTTTAGTAGTAAAAGATATAATTCATCATCCACTTAATGAAAAAGTTACTGTTTTGATCAGTCACATGACGTCAATTTGTCAAACATCGATCTCTGAAATTCTGAAGTCTCCTTTAACAGTTCCCATTGAAGTTACAGAGCGATGTGCATAGAAGTTGAGAAGATTCACAAATACACTTCTTTGAACATAGAGGTTGAAACTTGTAGCCAAATTTTCAACGGGAAGCTGCTGGCAGTGTCATCCACACCGGTAGCCATGGGTTGTTGTCCTTTGTCCAACCAAATAAATCTGGCTCTGATACTTTCTGTCTGAGAAGTAAACAAGTAAGCCATATGCTGGCCTGGTACAAGCTCCTGTTTGTGTGCTGTAGCAGAGCATCCTGAGTGGGGGGAAGGTTCGGCATCAAACTTGATCTTGCGGCTTTGGCAGAACATCTCTTGTTGCAGTTCGTTGACTATGTTCACTGGATGTAGTGCTGTCAGACATGATGCATGTGAATCGCTCAACTTATGAAAACACTTCTGAGTCTTTGTCCACAGGTTGGAATGGTTGCTGTGCAGGAAAAGAGAAATCTATTAGTCACATTCTCCTAGCATATCCAAGTCTTCAAAGCAGTTACCATTTTGCCTTTACCACTGAACTGTGATGTTGTGTCAGAACCAGTGAATGCGTGGAAAAAAGGGAAGCACCACTCATCTCCGACAGCCAAGATTTTGGAATTTTATGTGATAACATCTGACATTTTTCCCGTTTCCTAATGACACCCACAGCTGAACAGCAGACTTTAGTTCAACCAGTTGGGACAACAACATTTGTGTCGACAGTGCTAAACCATGATGTTTGTAGCACCTTTTTGCAAAGCATCTTTGACACGAAGGCAGATTCTGATATCCGCCTCTTCCTGATCAGTGCACTGCATCTCCTCTTCACTTCCTACTGTAACCACTGACTCCACAGCTGTTATGAACACCACCTTTCCTGGTTTGTAAGAGCTGCTAGCCACATCATCTGTTATGAATGCAAATAGTTCTTCTTTGTCCTTTGATTCTTTTAGAAAAGCAGCAAAGATCATTGGTAGTCTAGTATGATGGGAAACTTTTCTTCTACTGCCTTTCTTTTGCTTTTTCTCGTGTTGTCTCGAGCAGAGTCATACCCAGGTGATACAAGACAATCTAAGAGCTCTTGTTTGCAGTTTGGTAAATGAAGTTTTCCATGAATTGATATGTATTGTGGCCACGGGTGATTTTCATGAGAAAAAGAATTGTTTTAAATTAGGTTGACGTACCTGACAATCAAGGAACATCTGACTGAAGAGACTGTAGCCATTTTTCAGGTCATTCGTTTGCTGTTTGATTTAGACTTAGGTTTGTTTGTGGTGGCTTAAAACAGGTGATTTTTTTAAATGGGGTTGTGAATTGACTCTGTCCTTTACAAACTTCTCATATTTGTCTTTTCCGGTCTTCTCCATTGATTTCATAGATGCTACGACAGCTTCACCAACACATTGATGATCATCAAGGGTCATCAGTTCAGGAGACTCTTCCAGGAAGGGATTTCCCATCGAAGCAACTGTGCCACATAAGTTGTTGACTTGAGTCTTAAATGTCTGCTGTGTAGCAAAATCTTGTTCATTGCTTCTAGTATCAACCTTGTCATCTTGCTTCTCAAACTCTTGCAGAATTCTTGCTTGTTCTGATCCAAATATCATCCATCTAGTTAAGGCAACAGTTTCTATTAATGCAACTGCACCACCTGAGTGTTTTACAACTTTGCTGTTTCGCTCATGAGCTTGATCCAAAAGCATGGCAGCAAATGTCTCTGAATGGACTCTTCTGTCAACAGGAAGGCTTTCATATCTCTGATGTGAACTGACAGCCTGCGTGCATAGTTGGTGTGATCAAGAGCAAAGAACCAAAGGACAAGTTGTTTCATTACCTGAGTGTACAGAAACATGTTTCTTTTCGCGATGGGACCTCACACAGATTGGTATCATTGTCTCGAGATGAAGAATCAAATCCCAGTATTTGAATGTTGGAATGTTTTCTGACATCCAATTTATCCAGCCAGTCTTCAAATGATTGTTGAACATGCGGTTCCAGTGAGAACATGTAAGCATCGCTTTGAAGACTTGCTATTTGATACGGCAGCTATTTGATGAGCATGTCCTTGTAACATTATCCGCTGAATGAAAGATTCAGCTGTTCCACTTGGGCAATATCCGCGTCTGTTGGTGCTGAAATCCATCCAGAATCTTCCAACAAGTCTCCAACTATTTTCCATAAGGCTATTTCAATGTGAAGACCTCCAAGCTTGATAGTGTACACATCTTCACCAAACACATTAGGCCATCTCCATTGAACATATTTTGCTAGCGCAAAATGTGGTTGAGCTATATCCATCACTGGGAGTTGTCACTGGGAGTTATTCTGTGACTGTCTTGATAATAGATATACCATGCCTAGCCATGGCAAGACTTGCGGCTTTGTCCTTAAAGAAGAAGAAGAAGAGAACTTATTCCTGCTGCAACCTGTTCCTGGGTTTGACGAGAAGCATGAAATGCACCAGGCAACTCATCCTGTTCCAAATGTTCTTCATCGAGAAGGCCAATGCAGTGCTTGATCCACGATTCTTCTTAGCTTTGGTGATCTTGTCTTCGACTTGATGATGAGTTATAGGCACATTAACTCTCTCCACATTGCAGGGTCCTTCAGAAACTTTACAACTTCCTGGAAGTGTAGGTTTGGAAGAGCTTGAAATAGTGTCTATTGAAAGAGGTTTTTCGCTGCTACCATTATCAACAACATATCAAATGTGGCTGCAAGTCTCAACCTCTATGCTCAATGAAGTGCATTTGTAAATCTTCTCAACTTCTGTGCACATCGCTCTGTAACTTCAATGGGAACTGTTAAAGGAGACTTTAGAATTTCAGAGATCGATGTTTGACAAATTGACGTCACGTGACTGATCAAAACAGTAACTTTTTAATTAAGTGGATGATGAATTATATATTTTACTACTAAAGATAGATCCTGTTTGTTATATTTCTTGACAGTATTAGAATAGCCCTTTGAACGGCGAATATATCTCACATATTGCAACAAATGAATATTTTTTTATAGTTGGCGACCATTCTGGGTGGACTTCAGCACTCTTTGATTTTTGGTGGCCATCTTCGATTTGGGGGAAAATAGGCCCAAGCATTCGAGTACACCCCATAAATATGCTTTATCACGATGTTCCCTAGCACTGTGCAAGGTTTTCTGCTTTAATCCAGCGGGGTAAAGTCACAATAGTGTTAGAATTGGAAATCCTTGCTTTTAGGGGGGCCATCTTGGACGCCATCTTGGATTTTTGGGAAAATGGGCCCATTAAACCGGGCACACCCAAAACATATGTTTTATCATTATGTTCCCAAGCATTGTGCAAGGTTTTCTGCTATAATCCAGCGGGGGAGAAGTCATATAGTGTTAAAATTGGAAATCCTTGATTTTTGGCGGCCATCTTGGACGCCATCTTGAATTTTTCGGAAAATGTTCCCCAAAAATCGGGCACCCCCCGAAAATATGTTTTATCATGATATTCCCCAGCACTATGCAAAGTTTCATGCTTTAGTCCGCCAAGTATCCATTTTCACCCTAAGCCACTGCACTAATGGCGGCGGTCTGTAAATAATCGAGCCTGGATCACACAATCTAGTGATTGATGCATCGATGTATATAACTCGGATACGATGGAATCTATCAACCTAGTCTGCCAGCATGGCCACCCGACCCATTTAGTTACAGCGAACATGGGTTAACGAAGACCAGTTCCTTCACAGGTCCCTCGCTTGGTTTGCAAACAAGAAGATATACTGCCTGATTTTCTAAATGACAATCTGATTACTAACAAAAGCAGTTTGGTTGTGTAAGTTGAGGTTCTTTCTAAGATTCGTTATGTTTGATCGTTGTAAGAAGATGCAACTCAGTGTATCAAGAAGTCGGGTAAATTGTTCAATCACCATTAATCTTGTCAGGATATGGCCTAAATAATGCCGATGTTACGTGTAATATTAACTTTCCCCCCCTCACTCACTCGCATACATAATTCTTTGTGTCCCCAAGTGACATAAGAAGCTGATATACCCTGGTAACAGGTGCACTTGTGAACTGAGCGTATTATAATTCCAACGCTTTCAACATTGTCTCTGATAACTAAGATGATCCAACATTTCATGATCATGACTCCTTCACTCAACACAGTCCCGCCATACTGCAGCCCTGGTCGAAGTCCTCGTGGTTCTTCTTGCATCAATTCTTACTGTTCTTTCAGAAAAACAACAACTCGCCAATACGTCATGTATATGCAAGTATTCATCCTTCTTCTTCTGGTCATCTTTGCCCAAGGATTTCCTGGCAATGCTGCCATTGAAAAGGAAACAAACAGTAAGTTGGAACCTTGCGCTCTCGATATTTCGATTTCCCCTCGACATTTAGAATATTTGCTGTCCGTAGTATGGTTGTCTACCTTCAGTTGTTGGCGATATATAGCCCATTTTTTACATTGTATTGTCCAACAATAGTTTTCTGCTTTTAAAGATATATGCTAGCTAGTTTTAATTCACTTTGTGCCAATCTAGTAATTGTACTGTCCTTCGTTGACTGGGTTTTATATATTATATGTATGTATTATGAATTTAGACCTAGTTTTAGTCACGATATGGCTGAAATATTGCCGATGTGACTTTAAATTTTATCTCACTTACTCACTAGAATATTTGCTCGTTACGTCGCTAAATGACAGCATTGAGCTTCAAATAGTTTACCCATGCAGGTATTTGAACACGAGTCTTCTGCTTGACAAGTCGAAGCATAAAAACTCTAGGTTAACCTGCCGGTGCTTTTGAAATTCATAAGCAAGATCATTTGTTTTGTCAGACATTGAGCGGAAGGGAAAAAGAGGGGGAGTGAGAGAGTTTATTTTTACGCCGCACTCAGCAATATTCCAGCTATATGGCGGCGGTCTGTAGATAATCGAGTCACATAGCTGGGATATTGCTGAGTGAGACGTAAAACTAAACTTACTCACTCACTCTTTTCCAAAGTGTAACCTGCACCATTATACCCTACACTGACATTGACGTTCATACAACTGTTTTCTGATCACACCGATTTCTTCTGACTTGGTTGACACATGTCATCGGTTACCAATTGCGCAAATCTTACTTCTTATGCTGTTGATCACTGGATTGTCTGGTCCAGACTCGATTATTTACAGACCGCCGCCATATAGCTGGAATATTGCTGAGTGCGGCGTAAAACTAAACTCACTCACTCACACTTAGCGGTTTGGGCGGAGGGAGGTAACCTACTGGTTATAGCGTTTGCTCTTCACGCCGAAGACCCGGGTTCGATTCCCCACATGGGCACAAGGTGTAAAGCTCATTTCTGGTGTCCCCCGCCGTGAAATTGGTGTTATATTGTTAAAAGAGGCCTAAAACTGAACTCATTCACTCTAATAGGTAGTATCATGCCTGGCATTGGCAAGAACTAGGCCACTGCCACAAAATTGTACACTTTCCTGTTAAGTGGGTGATGGGGTGGCCTAATGGTAAAACCGTTCACTTGTCACGCCGAAGACCCGGGTTCGATTCCCCACATGGGAACAATGTGTGAAGCCCATTTTGGGTTTCCTTTTGCTGTGATATTTCTGGAATATTTTCACGAACAACGGGAGGTATTATCGGTTCGTCTTTAGTTGTACCGCCCAGAAAGCCATATCGAAGTTGTTCCGCCATTTAATGCTTCCACAAAGAATGATGGTAGATGCTGGTGGTGATTTTGTTTATGTTCTTTAGTCAACGTGTTACAGAATGTGCTTATCAGAACTGACATTATTCCTTCAGAGTGATTCTCTCACATTTTATAAGTCTCATAAGTCTTTACTTAACTGTGAAAAATATTTGTGAATATCTGAGTAAACAGCTGTCCGCCAAAGACCCCAAACATCGGAAGGTTTGTCTTCACCAAGAGTTCTGGCTGAAAGGGGGTCGTTTGATGTCAACTGACATGTTTTCATTCAAGGTCCTTCGTGAATTCGAATAATATGAATATTTAAGAGACTTACTGAAATAATAACTGAAAAAAAATCACGATGTTTCCTTTCAGAATGGGGGACAGAGATTTCCTTTTGTACCTACAAAGGTATTAAGTTCCTGCCCGGATCGCAGTGGTCAACAACGGACTGTGAGGCCTGTTCATGCTTCGACGACGGACTCTTCTGTGAAGGGTAGGTGCATATCAATGATCGTGTATTTCCTGTAAGGGATAAATGGAAACCAAAGTGTGGACACTTCTATCAAGGTTAGGTGGAGTACACTGTGGCGATACTTTTGTCGAGGGTAGATTGATAACGTTGTGGGATATGCTCGGTCAGGTGTAGGTGGATAACACAGTGGGAACTCTTCTATCAAGGGAAGGCGGATAACACTGTGAGAAACGTTCTGACAGGGGTAGATGGATAACACTCGGGGGACGCTTCTGTGAAGGGTAGATTAATAACATATCATGGGTAGGTGGATAATACATTGTAGTTCTAAACATCTACTGCCATTACAAAGAATGACAATGGTATGACAAAAGATGAAGCTGAAAATGTAAAATTCACATTTTACTTGAAGGAATGAACAATCCCTTCACCAGAACAGAGAAATGGCGGTGTGTATGTTATTGGGTATTTCGGGGGTTCTTTGCTTATCAAAATTAAAGAATGGTAACATTTAGTGATATTTCATAAAATTGTCAAATATATGTAAATAATCGACAGTTTAATGGCAGATGTGACATGAATAGAATTATGACAATTATTCTGACACTGAATACTAATGGTACTGTGGTTCTTGAGAGAGGCTTAGAAGTTGGTGTTCAAGTTAAACGCAAATATTATGGATGACAACTTCTTCTTTATTGTATGATCTGTACATCTCACTGTTTCAGCTCCCGTTTCAAATCCAATTTATTTGTATACATGCAACACTGGCTTCTTGTACATTTAGTATAGATACTCATTGATGTATCTTGCTTGTTACTATTTACCTGACGAAGGGGCAAGGAATAGCCCAGAAACGTTGTGGTATACAATAAAGAAGAAGTTGTCATCCATAATATTTGCGTTTTACTCATAGTATTGTTAAGCATACGATATGAGATAAACAATGTCTTGTGAGTGTTTCAAGACGGCAATTTAACCCACCGCATCACATTTTGTTTCTAGATTTGGTTATGCTGCGGGGGTATTTGATGCACCTGAAGGTTGCAAGACTGTCAATGATGGCTGTCAGCCAAGGGTGGTGAAAAAGGATGATGAACTGAAGGACTGTCCGCTACCATAGTAACACATCCTTCATGTAGAATGCACTCCTGAAAGCGGATAAACATGAAGATAATTTGTCTGTGTCCTCCTTTGTTTAAGAGAGGATGGTGTTCAAACCATTCAGGTTCGAAAGGGACGCAACCCTCATATATCTATATTGTAGTGATATATTTCCTTCAAATATTGGCAAAACTCCTTTGACTTTAGGTTTTACATCTACAGACGATCCGTTAATAGGACGTGCTGGAACTTCCTTTGATATAATATGCCAGCTATTATGAAAATGAAAAACATGCTCTCTCACCATGTATTATGAACGAGACCGGGGCGGTGGTTAAAGCGTTCGTTCGTCATGTCAAAGACCCGGGTTCGATTCCCCACATGGGCACAATGTGTGAAGCCCATTTCTGGTGTCCCCCGTCGTGAAATTGCTGGAATATTGCTAAAGGCGGCTTAAAACCAAACTCACTCACTCACTCCCTAAACGAGACCGAATAACAGTTTTTCTTACCAAACAATTGTAAGCAAATGTCTATTTCGTAATAGACAACTGAGTTAGACTAAAGGGGTCAGAGGTGGCCTAGTGGTTAAAACGTTCGCTCGTCACGTCAAAGGCCCGGGTTTCCCCCGCCGTGATATTGCTGGCATATTGCTCAAAGCGGCGTAAAACCAGACTCACTCACTCACTCACTAAAGGGGTCAGATCACTGGAAACATCAACAGGACGTTAATTTTTACCATGACAATCACTAGATTGGATTATTTGTAGGGACCGTGAGGCTTTAAACAGCGGAGAAAAACTGAAAAAAACAACAACATTTTTTCACTTTATGTTTGTAATTAACGATTTCTATTGTGACATGACATTGAAATGCATAAAGTCGATAAAGGGAGATATTTTATATTGATAATGTCATAAACCGAGTGTTGTATTAATTTGTCATTATAACTTTTTTAGATTTTTAATATACAACCTGTCGCACAAAAATAATAGGAAATACGTTGTTCCTCTCATGAATGATTTCACTCAATGCTACAGATTAAGTCACAAAGGACTGGACAATTACCGTTTTTAATTAATTTGGAATGTGTTACATGGATATGAATTTCATATTGGTAATCAGTTACCGTAAAAATGTATGCATTGTTGGCCAATCGACCGAGAACAGATGTTGCTGGCACGTAAGTAATGGTTTACCTTCACTCATTATTAGCCCTAATATGTCAATAATAAAACATTAAAAAGATTATTCTGTAATATTCCATACAGGTTACACAAAACCATTCTTTTACCATAGACATCTATAGTAAAGTTATATATACTTTTTGAATCACCAAGGCTGTCAACAGCCATTCCAAGTACACATAGGTACAATCTGGCCTTTCAACTACAACAAAACACAAATTCCGGCAAACTTATCCTGTCATTTTCCGAGCGCATGAAGCTGAACACATCAACCCCAGCTCCGCACCAAATGTCCCCTACTTGAAAATATCTGTACCCACATTGATAAAAATGACTGCATTAAATACTTAAAATTGTGGTCAGTTTTAATTACTGGATTGATGTGTTTTTAAGAACATAAAAAATCTTACCCTATATCATCCAATCACAGCTGTCACATGTCTCTATCCGGCCAGAAGTTTACTCACGACACTGACTCAGCGAGTAAGAGATTCAGATTTAGTGTAGTAGAACCAAGAAACGACTCTTTAGCTTACCCGTTGCGTGCAATGTACAAAAATTTGTAGAAAACCTTCTTTACCAAAATCAAACGCACAAAGTTATTTCACAAAGATCTGTTAACCGAGTTATTTTATAAAGATAATACTACTGTAAAACACAAATATAATACGGCATGACAATAATACGTCTGACCAAATGTAGACACAAAATGCTATCAACAATTAGTAACAAAAAAGATTACTAAAATATGCTGAACTTGATCTACTCACAAAATTGTATCTTATGTCTTTTTGAGCATGGGTCGGATTGTGTATAATTACTTCATAAAAGAATTAACTTTATTAAAAACAAAACAATAAAATGATACCAATTTAAATTACGTGCATCGGACAGAACAGTTACCTGTAAATAACGATGCATATTGTGAAATATTTGGAGAATTATTTTTCACAACTATTGCCCATTACATGCAATGAGCAGATAATTTCAATGGGCAGTTGCACAGATTGTGTGTAATATATACATAATTATGCATGCATATATATATATATATACATACACATCCTTGATATTCACAACTCATGACGGGTAAAGTGAAAACTGAGTCAACGTTCTGGTTTAAAAGCATTATTTCACCTGTATAATATATTGCAATTTGGGTTGGTTTTGTTTTATAATTTGGTTTTTGTCGTTCCTATATTTATAATTTAAAAGGTTTGATGGCATTATCGTTCTGACGTTATATCAGCTCGAAAATGACACTCCTATGGTATCTAACTTCTTTACTAAAAGGTTCGAAAGTAATATTTTTTATACGTTTACATGCTGTATGAACAAACCGAAATCATACCCACAAGAAGAGTACAATAGCATGACGTTAATGACGTCACTGCCATGAACATACGATGCATGTATATATATATATATTCGTTTCTTGGACACTTTGCTATGTGTCAAACCGTATACGCTAATCACGTATGACGAATATGAAGAAATTTTGTTATCGTGATAAGGAAACAAAAAGTATTTTCAAGTTTTGTAAAACTGACACGGACTCCAGATTGCCATTTATATGAAAAGGTTATGTATGACGAATGACTTTTTTGAAACAGATTATCCATTATCCAATCAAAATATAATATATTGTCCACTGTTCACTCCAGGCAAATCAAATGCTACTTCAATCAATACCCTGTGTGAGTGAGTGAATGAGAAATGTGTCACACCGCTTTTAACAATATTCTATCGATATCACTGCGGGGGACACCAGACTGACTGACTGAGTTTTGTTTTTACGCCGCTTTTAGCAATATTCCAGCAACATCACGGCGGGGAACACCAGAAATGGGCTTCACTCATTTAACCCATGTGGGGATTCGAACTCAGGTCTTCAGCGTGACGAGCCAACGCTTTAACCACTAGGCTACCCCACCGCCCGGGGACACCAGAAATGGGCTTCAAACATTGTACTCTTGTGGCAAATCGAAACCGAATCTTCGGCGTGACAGGATAACGCTTTACCCGCTATGCTGCCTCACCGCCAAAATCGACCCACCGCACCGCACTGCAAGAGGGTCTGGTGCCGTTTTACTATTTACGCGTGATTATAGTATATCATTCATAGATTGATATCACAAAATTAAACTTAATTAGATCATGAAATAATAATTGGTACGAAAACGTAAGTATCGACATTATGAAAAAACAAATATGACAAATTTTAATATATCATAAAAATAATTTTTTATCTTCAAAAATATCTAAAATGACGTCACCACCATCGATACATTAATTGTTTGATCAAACAATTTAGAGTAAGTAATCGGTGTCACATACAATTACCCGAGTAGTGTAACGCCTCAAGACCAAGCTTGTCGATTAACTGACTGACTGACTGAGTTTGGTTTTACGCCGCTTTTAGCAATATTCCAGCAACATCACAATGGGGACACCAGAAATGGCGTTAACAACATTGAAATAAAACGTGAAGCCGACGCTTTAACCACTCGACTACCCCACCGTGGTCGATTCCTTGATGCCAAATCAACAAGCATGACAACACACAGTCCACCAGTCTGTTCTCTCAGCTGACAAAGGGGCTGTTTCGGTTTTCTGGGAATCTAGAGAAGTTCTACATGCGGACTACATCGAGGATTCAGAAAACTGATGGCCACATTATGATATTCTGCTTCGGCAAATGCGTGATAATATCACTACTAATCGTCGTGGTAAACCCATTAAAGATGAGTTGTTCCAACAGGTTGCTGTCACCATGACTACATTTCATGATACCCGTGAGGATCCGGGTTAGAAGGGGTCTTCAGCAACCCATGGCGACTAACGGGATGACCCGGCGGCGGACACCAGAAATGGGCTTCACGCATTGCACCCATGTTGGGATTCGAACCCGCGTCTTCGGCGTGACGTAAAACAAGTGAACACTAGCAGTATTAGCAAGACCAGTAAACAGTGTTATTGTCTGCAATTTGACAGAAATGATGGTTCGTTGGCTTGATTTTTAGCTCCACATTCAGCAATATTCCAGCTATATGGCTATATGTAAATAATCGAGTCTGAACCAGACAATTCATTTATCAACATCATGAGTATCGATCTACGCAATTGGGAAATGATGACATGTGTCAACCAAGTCAGCGAGCCTGACCACCCGACCCCGTCAGTCGCCTCTTACGACAAGCATGGATTTTCTCTTTACAAAATCATGGTCAGTTGATTTTACTGAAATTAAAACCAAGTTTCATCAACCGTTTATTGATTTCTGAGACTAACCTTGAGCCTTGAATTGGGGCAAACATATCAAAGGCAAGAAGAGACGTTATGAAAAATATTGTTCAAATGATGAAATCATGAAACAATAAACATTAACAAATATAAACAAACATACACCACCTGGAAATACAAGTTGGTTGTCAACTTAAAAGATGGTCTAGCAAGTGGTAGAATCATTTATGTATATTTGACATAGAAATTAATAGGAGTGTTCTATTTGGGGAAATTTTACGTTTCTTTTCTTATCTTAATTCATGCTGAATTAAATTCTATGAAACCTTTCGGTCGTTCTTTGCACAACTTTGTCATCTTGGATTTTGGAGTCTTTTCGTTTACTATAAACCGACTAACCACACATATGGCTGTGAGACCATTTAAACAAATACATATGTTATCTACTCCACTAAGTAACATTGTCAGATCTCGGTGAAGTCCTCCAGATGTCCTTCATCTGCACATCATGAACAATGTATTTGCCGGGGAGGGACGCCTATTTTGTAGATGTTGGTGTAGCGGTGTTTGTGGAACCTTCGGAAGTAACTGTGGTGACTGAAATAACAAAGTTGTGAGTAATTGTGTCATAAAATAATTATGACGTCTATATATGCACATGAATACAAATAAACTGAAATAGGCTAGATATTCCTTTGTTTTCTCTTGGATGAAGAGTGTCCCAACCCACAAGGGCACTTGGCAGTGTGGTAATCTTTTTCTTACATACCCCAAAAATCGAAACAGCACATATTTTAACTTTCCTCGTGATCACAGTGGCGCAATCATACAGCCGTCATATTACACGTCATCCGACTCACGGATTACCACTTCCTTCACCTGTGACCCATCATAGTGGATTATCAAGGTTCATTGAGATGAAAATATATACTAGATAGGTCCTGAGAATATATATCAACACTCTAGGTCTGAAAGCGATAAACGTCCAAAACAGACGTAAGTGAGTTCGACCGAACTTATCACTGACTTACAATCAAGAAAGTAGTCCCTCACAACCTGACCTTAGGTCATCACCATGGAGTATCCAATCACGAACCCGGAATTCGATCTCACGTCTGTCCGATACGATATATTTCACATGGGTTTCTCACCCACAGATGTTTAGGAAAGTATCATGATAAATGAATTACAAATAAAACAACTTCATAAAATAGACATTCAGTGTCATGTCAGAATCACCAAGCTTACATTTCGAGTTCTGGGCCATGTTGCAGTAGTTGGTGTCACAGCACAGATCTTTGATCTCATTGTCAGAGAGAGCCCTGTGTAGCACACGACCTCCACAAGCCTGGAATGACAGTGGTAAAATGAACTGGGTTTCAGGTATCCGTCCTTTACTTTTTGCCTGTGGGTATTCACACGTATGGTTATACCAAACTGCTGGAGATGAAATATTTTTCTTATATGTGTTTAAGCAAAGATTAGTGGATATTTATGCTAAAAAGTGGCAAGGCAATGTACCAGCTTCACATTTTTTTATCACTGGAGTAATTATAGTCTTGTAGACTTAGGATTTTACCCTGAAGCGTATATTACATACCGATTTCATGATAAGACGTTACTGAAGTTATTTTGTAAGTTCCGAATTTCTCTACATAATTTGAATGTGAATGCAACCAGACGAAACAGGGATGCTGAAAGACAGCACACTTTATGTAACCATTGTAACAGCGGACAAGTCCAGGATGAATTTCATATTTTACTACAATGTCTAGAATATAATGATTTAAGAATAAAATATTTAAGATTTATCGATGGTAAATATGTAATGTAAATCCCAAATGATAAATTTGTTGAATTCACAAAATAGATGTACGCTTAAGCAATAGCCAAAGTTTTAAAGCCTTTATTCTCCAAGAATGTTGGAAACAGTGTTTAAATATATTTTTCTATTTTCTTACCACGTGACAACGAAAATGTTGTAGCAACAATTGTAACATGGGCCAGTTGGCCAATATTACTGGATAAAATATGTCTGTCTGTATAAATAAACGCAAATGTGCAATACAGCATTATCGTACCACGACCATTATAATCCAAAATAAGATCAATGCTTTATTTCAGTCACAAGCTTGAATTCAGTTTGACTCCTTTCTAATTCGTTTTCCAGGGTATTGGAGACAGACTGTACTTAAAAGTCATGGTAAAGCTTTTACATTTGTATATATATGCTTTGAGTGATTTTACGTCCGACCCGTGAAGATCCTGGTTAGAATTTGTGTTCACCGTGTCGCGCGACTAACGGGGACTGGGTTGTCAGGTTCACCTACCAGGTTCATGGATATCATCGTATCGATGCTCATGATATCAGTCACTGGATTGTCATCTACATATAAGATCTCATTGATATTATTTCTAATCTTCACAGAAACGGATGCCTTTAAATCCGGGTATGTGCCGGGTGGGCAAGTGTACTCGTATAAAAATTGAGCTACCCCAATGACGACATGCAAAGAGTACGAGGCTCCATACCACTGGACAAAGTAGTCAATATATCTTAAGTCCGGGTTAAAACATTACGGCCCTCTTTGTGCTTAAATAGCTTATCTGAACTACAAACCGGCCGGGTTAAATTTGTTCGGACTCTCTGTGCTTTAGCAACGTAATTCCCGCGGGTTAAACTTCTTACTATACTCTGTGCTTCAGTAGCTTTGGCCGATGATTCGCCTACGCTAAAATTCTGAAGACGCTCTTTGTGCTTAAGCAGCTTAACTGTACGAGAATATCGCCTGCATGGATTTGTTAGCACTCTCTGTGCTTAAGTAGCTTTACTGACCGAGAATTCGCCCGCGCTAAAATTCTTAAGACGGCGTCGCTCTTTGTGCTTAGGTGGCTTCACACTGGTTAAAGTTCTTACTTTTTTAGCTCTGTGCTTAAGCATCTCAAATGAACGGGGAATATCGCACGTGTTAAAGTTGTTAGGACTGTCTATGCTTAAGTGACTTCCCTGATAGTGAATTCGCCACGAAGATTAAAATGTGGCATATCAAAATGGTAGCTAGCCACAAGAGAGACAATGTAAAATTGGAGTTGAAAGCAAGTACGTTTTGTAAAAATCTAAAAATATTCCATCATTACTTACGGCTCTATTTATACATTCCAAAGTGTATCGAACAAAGAACTGGTCCGATGCGTAGATTGTACGTGCACAAACCTGCAACAGTTAAACACGTTATGGGAAAATTCGACACAATATTATAAGTAATATTAAGTCATTTGCATGAATTTGACGTCCATCTTGGAAATACTCTTCAGATAGTGACGCTTTTTCGGTGACAAATGATCTCGATTTTGGTAGGTTCCGGGGAATTAGACCCTGGATTCTCTTGGAGTATAATATACCTTAAGACTGTCTAACTTGAAAATCATTTCAAATGAAGTTTTCTTTGTCGAGTGATTGAGTGAGGTTTACAGCTGTTTTTTTAACGGAATTCCAAAGCTTTTATCATATTTAAATAATTTGAATTCACACATAATTGCAATTAAAATTTCAAATGCTGTATATAAATGACATGGAGTTTTTGCAAGTATTTTGGACGTGTTTGGTAACTTTTCATTTAGTGTACACCAAATTCAGTGAAAACAATTTGAGGTGACTGTCTTGTCACAAGATGGTCCTGTACAGGTACGTAAATAGTTCGGTGAAAGAACATTCACATCTGTTTCACCTGAAGAAGTTGGTATCTTTTTCATTTAGTGCAAACAACTTTTATTCACATCTGTTTCACCTGAAGGAGTTGGTATCTTTTTCATTTAGTGCAAACAACTTTTATTTACATCTGTTTCACCTGAAGGAGTTGGTATCTTTTTCATTTAGAGTAAACAACTTTTATTCACATCTGTTTCACCTGAAGGAGTTGGTATCTTTTTCATTTAGTGCAAACAACTTTTATTCACATTTGTTTGACCTGAAGGAGTTGGTATCTTTTTCATTTAGTGTACACAACTGTTATTCACATCTGTTTCACCTGAAGGAGTTGGTATCTTTTTCATTTAGTGTAAACAACTTTTATTCACATCTGTTTCACCTGAAGGAGTTGGTATCTTTTTCATTTAGTGTAAACAACTTTTAAAGAAAACAATGTATTCTCTTTTGTCCAGGACCATTGAAATGTTATTAAATGGTTCTGTACAGGCATGCTACAAATAATGATGAATGATCAATCACGTCTTTTTCACGTTAACACCAAAAAATACAACTGCACACTGCAAATACAACGAAGGGAGATGGCATAAGATTGATTCAATTTTGGAAACTTTCCCCACGTGTTAAAACGGTCTAAAGGACGAATAATCACTTGATGTTCATATGTCCATTTTATGATGAAATTAATACACATCTGAAATCTTAACGGCAAATATGTTTTAGAAACTTTTTAACAAATAGTACACATAGCTTGAAAATGTTGAGTCTTTATTTTTTCCATACTCATGATGAAAGATGCAGACTGCTAACTAAACAATTATCTAAAGTCTATTAGACATATGTTTATATATATATATCCATTAATAATTATTTATATTCAACACTCTGTTATATCGGTTGTATTATTAAATATATATGGGCCAAATGGTCTTCATATTTAAATAAGGAATTGATTGACTGACACGCTATGATATAACTAAATTTTAGAGTGCAGCTGAAAGTGGCGTAGGATCATATTTCTTCATTATGCTCTAAAGTCTTACATACCTCGCTAGAACTGCATGAAGCCACTTTCTTGCAGTCGGAAGGACTGGCCATATCCGTGCAAGATCGGCAGGTTAATCCTTTGGGTGTTTCTTAAATTTGCTAAATACGAACTGATGACTAACATACCTCGCTTAAACTGCATGAAGCCACTTTTTCGCAATCGGCAGGACTGGCCATATCCGTGCAAGAGCCACAGGTTAATCCTTTGGGGGTTTCTAAAATGTGAGTAAATACGCACTGATGACTTTTAAATCAATGAAAATCAGTTGTGTGGATTGTGACTGAGCGGTAGTCAACTGAGTTGATCGGTTGTCTTGGCCCGGTGATTCTGTCCACATTTCCCCACAACATGATCGGTGCTCAGTATATCAATCACGGGACTCCATCACTTAGAAGTCACTGGAATATTGTCGAATATGTTATACCTGTATTCTGCCTAACCGGTGACACAAAGACATTTAAAGGCGAGGCAATTGTTTCAAATTTGCACAAGGAAAAATGGGCTATTTGTTAGTGACGTCAGTGTTTCCGTTATATCATATAGTTTCATCTTCAAATGTAGATACATTTACAGGGACGGATTTAGAAGTCGTCCCGAACTATAACTATAGTTTAACTTGTATCACCAATGTCAAATCCAGTTTCGATTTCACGACTAGCGGATCCTGGTATGGCAAAGGTTAGTAACGTGTTGGTACCTTTTTATAGCGAGCATGACTGTGTTTAGATTAACTGTCCTGTACCTACTGAATATATCTCGATTACACCCAGAGTGGTTTGTGCAACATCTCTCTTCCAACGCTGCCTCGTTTTCTCTGCGACCAACGCGGAGAGCTTGGCATTCCTAAAATAGATTCATAGCAGGTAGATAATCTTCAAAGTTATGTTCGTTGTTTTAATCTTAAATATCCATTCCTCATGTAATAGTAAGTGAGTATGTTTTATGCTGTTTTAGGCAGTATGGGAGCAATATCATGACGGGGCTCCATGTGTTTCATCAACACAGGGAATCGAACTCGGGTCTTCGACGTGGCAAATGAACGATGTAACCACTAGACTTCAACAAAGGGACAATGTTGTTGTAAGAGGAATCGAAAGAGTTCATACATTCTGCCTGTTGTTTACGCCGCCCTCAGAAATATTCCAGCTGCATGGCGGATGTCTAAATAATCGTGTCTGGACCGGACAATCCAGTGATTGGCATAATGATCTTCGATCTCCGCAATTGGGATACGATTATATGCATGCACTACTCAGCAAGTCTGACCAACCGATCCCGTTAGTCGCCTCTCGAGACAAGCATGGGTTGCTGAAGACCAATACTAACGCAGATCAACACGGATAGACAATATTTTACGGTCTTCGAAGCTGACTAGATGGATTCAAATTAAGGGATATAACTCTGCATAGCGGAACTAGTGTTCTTCCGCCCTCGCTGGTGAATTGTGATAACTATTGAAATATCATAAATATAAAGAAAGTGACGAAAAACAACAAACAAGAAACAATTCCATAATCTTAAGAACACACTCCCGAAACCACAATATTCGGAGTCTGTCATGAACATATGTTTTTGAATCATTATCAAGCAGTAATGATGGGTGTTTGCGGAACGTGTAGCGTATCCTGCTCATTCATTCAGACCTACCTGGTCAGTCATACATCCAAGCTTGTAATATATATACCCTCGTGGTGTTACATATTTAGCAACGTGACACTCCTGAAACAGAATCACAAACCGATATGTCAATACCTGTATAACTTGGTCGTTTGATTGATTTTACTTCATCGATTATAACAAAACCGATTTATGAATACACAAATAACGGAAGCAGTAGACGTATTCCAGATGATCAAACCAATATATTTTACCTGCCACAAATATTAGTTCATGATAACGCTTGTACGCTTGTTAATTTCGGATGTGTACTAAACATACCATTTTAATGACCTCAGTAGACAGACTTTTGATATTATTCAACTTCTTCTCGTCGCTAAATGGCTGCAATATTGCCGAAGCGATGTAAATTTGTAACTCACTCATTATTTCGAATGTGTTGGATTTGGTTCAACGTCATGGTCAGCAACGTTCCAGTTATAAGCCAAAAGTGATGCAGTTCTTAGACCTTTTTCATTTCGGCGAAACAGAAAAGCTTTTCGACCTTGTAATGTTAACAGGGCGAATCCTGGATTCGAAACCGCGGACAAAGGGTTCTGTCATGCTAAAGGGAAGCAACTCTGCACATCAAATCGCAGCGGATGAGAAGATTTGGGTCATCCGACTCAGGTGACACAGCCTCTCACAATCTGAGGACTACAGAGCTCGGATTCACCACAGTCCCCACTCCCAGCTACCCTTGAAGATCCGGGTTAGAGTTGGTCATCAGCAACCCATGATTGTTGGAAGAGGCGACTAACGGGATCGGGTGGTCAGGCTCAATGCAACCTTGGTTGACACATGTCATCGTATCCCAGTTGCGTAGATCGATGCTCATGCTGTTGATTACTGGTTGTCTGGTCCAGACTCGATTATTTAAGGACCGCCACCATATAGCTGGAATATTGCTGAGTGCGGCGTTAAACAACAACCAACCAATCAGCCCACACCCAACAATCCGTCGTTTCCATCAACTGTGAGGAACGCGGTCGTATAGATAAAGGCGGCAGTACTGCTTAAGACTGACTCGTTTATCCTGATATTGTGACTATAAGAAACACATCCCGTATTACCTCTAGTGTTGGGACTTGGTTAAAATCTCTTAATTGATGATTGGTTCATTACAACCGATCAATCATCGAAAATAATTGGTTAGCGTCATTTATCAGATTTTCCTGGTTATGTTTGTTTGCACAAAACATAAAGAAAAAACATGTAGTTCTATGTTTTTTTGGTGTTTTTTGCAAATTGCTCATCTTTTAAGGATGACTAGTATGTTAGGAACATAAATTTATTGGGGGTCTTTAAGATAAATTCAATCATGACTTGGACGAGCTTGTAGTGCTCATGAAATGTAACAGACAAAACCAACCGTGTGAAATACATTGTTAATGCAACAAGTGTTCCAGAATTGTTTGTGTTCGATTATGAGAAAACATGATCGATTGCTTGGTCGTTTAGTCACTGCGACCAATCTTCGATTATTTCAATTAATCGGACCACCACTAATTACCTCACATTATTCAGTTTGAACCTACGTGGTAGGACTTCCCTAGTCCTCCCTTGGCTCTTCCTGAGTCCAATCCCGCCATACAGCTGGAATATTGCTGAGTGCGGCCTCAAACTTAACTCACTCACTAACTCACTCCTCCAATTACTAATACTATTGTAGTTAATCCAGACACTTGTCAATCTGGACGATTTCACTTGGCCGGGTACTTTTCAGATTAACGAATTTATGTAATGGTACCAATGTGAGTGTTTCTAATAATCCAAGTCCACACCCTACTGGTACCCATTAATGTCTGTGTAAAACAAAGGTATATTTCGAACTGGGTCAATGTAGAGGTATTTGTTGGATGGAATCCCTACTCACCTGACCTGCACCACAGATGGTTGTGTATTTACAGTCACGTGGGTCTGTGACTCTGTCACAGAGAGAACAGAGTAGACTAGTATGATGGCTATCTGAAGTGAGAGATACGAGCACGAGTGAGTGAGTTCATGTAATGTTAAAGTAAGTATAATTCAAGCAGCTGGAAAATCATCCAATCTGAGTAAGTTAAATTAGTGATTAATGTCATGAGACGTCGCAGATACAATGTAAACCTTCCCATACACTATTCAAGCAGCTGCTAAATCATCCAATCTGAGTAAGTTAAATTAGGGATTAATGTCATGAGACGTCAGAGATACAATGTAAACCTTCTCATACACTTTTCAAGCAGCTGCTAAATCATCCAATCTGAGTAAGTTAAATTAGGGATTAATGTCATGAGACGTCAGAGATACAATGTAAACATTCTCGTACACTATTCAAGCAGCTGCTAAATCATCCAATCTGAGTAAGTTAAATTAGTGATTAATGTCATGAGACGTCGGAACCTTTTCATACACTATTGAAATCACAGAGTGTTTCCCACATGGGTACAATATCTGAAGCCCATTTCTGGTGTCCCCTGCCATGATATTGCTGGAACATTGCTAAGAGCAGCGTAAAACTAAAACTCACTCACTCACTCACATAATCCGTAAACACTGTTAACCTTTCACGCATAGTGGCCACCCAATCCCCAGTCTGATTGATCCACCACATTACTTGTGACACACAGCAGGTAGTCACAAACATACATATAGTACTGTACATACTTTGAATTCTCCTAAATGCAAATAGGGACTTTTACGAAGGTTCATTAATACATGCTAGCGCCTCATAGATAAAACGTTTCGTAACAGTGAGATCTTTTGAGATCTTTTGTTAAGGACATTTCAAACAGTTACTTCCCCAAACCTACATCAACTATGGCCAATAGAATAAGCAGGCACCTATGAATATGATCCCTCCAACATTGTCATAAAGGTATCAATGTGAACTAAGATTATGTTTAGCATGCATCATTCTAGGTCCGAACTTATCAATAGCTGTCAAAGATTGGATACAGATATCTTGTGCATAGTAGCTATCAAAGATTGGATACAGATATCTTGTGCGGTTCGTGTATATAAGTTGTTATTTTTATACGTTGTGAAATACCATTGAAGATATACATTTGAATTTGTCTCAAGAATAACAATTTTAATAAAAGTTTAAATGCTTACCTTGGATCGAGGCTGCTGGCGTGGTGCTTGACGTTGGGGATATTGTTACTGCATTAGCAGATGATCGAGGAGGTGGACTAGAGTGTGTCCCAATTGTCGTATCAATTATGGTTGTATCTTCAGTCATTGAAGGACTTGTATATACTATTTCACTCGTTGTATCAATTGATGGTTATATCTTCAGTCATTGAAGGACTTGTATATACTATTTCACTCGTTGTATCAATTGAGGTTGTAGCTTCAGTCATTGAAGGACTTGTATATGCTATTTCACTCGTTGTATCAATAAATGTTGTATCTTTAGTCAATAAAGGATTTGTATATGCTATTTCACTCGTTGTATCAATAAATGTTGTATCTTTAGTCAATAAAGGACTTGTATATGCTATTTCACTCGTTGTATCAATAAATGTTGTATCTTTAGTCAATAAAGGATTTGTATATGTTATATCACTTGTATCCATAAAGGTTGTGCCTTTAGTCACTAAAGGGCTTATATATGGTATGTCACTTGTTGTATCAATGAAAGTTGTATCTTTAGTCATTGAAGAACTTGTATGTGGCATGTCACTTGTTGCATCCACGAAGGTTGTATCTTTAGTCATTGAAGGACTTGTATGCGATATTTCACTCGTTGTATCAAAGAAGCTTGTATCTTTAGTCATTGAAGAACTTGTGTATGGTACCTCACTTGTTGTATCAACGACGGTTGTATCTTCAGATCTCGAAGGACTTGTATATTTTATATCGCTAGTTGTATCAACTGAAATTGTATCTTGAGACACTGGAGGACGTGAATATGGCATCCCACTAGTTGTATATTCAATCATTGACGGACTTGTATAAGGCATTCCGCTTGTTGTATCACTGGTGGTTGTATATTCAATCATTGACGGACTTGTATAAGGCATTCCGCTTGTTGTATCATTGGTGGTTGTATATTCAATCATTGACGGACTTGTATAAGGCATTCCGCTTGTTGTATCACTGGTGGTTGTATATTCATTCATTGACGGACTTGTATAAGGCATTCCGCTTGTTGTATCACTGAAGAACCCGTTATCCGTCAGAGACGGACTCGTACTTTCCAATGAACTATGGGTAGTTTCTAAAGATGCTTGAAGTGTATCAGGTTCCAAACCTGGTAACAAATACAACGAACAAACCTGGTAACAATACAATGCCATTATATTAAGGGAACAAAATGTACTACCTTATTGTTAAACAAAACGTTAAATTAATATTTTTTTATTCAAGATTTTATCTGTGATTATACTACATGGCATGATAAAATGTCCCTTGACATGGCTATAAATATAATATTAATTCAATATAACGAAAGGCTAAATAAGGCGATGACCGAGAGAAAGGAGGTTTCGAGAATGCCTGTTCAAGCCTGTTGACAAGCATTTTATCGGACCTGCTTTGTGAAAGTCTTTCTGGTATTACCTACCTGGAGGGGAACATACATAGTTGCATTTATCTCCATGGCAACAGCTGGCACACATGGTGGAGAGCACTGTTTCCCGTTTCCTTACAGCCCGTCCAAAGTGATGTAGAGTCTCACATTCCTACATCACCATGAATATCTTAGACATGGGGCCACTTCTGCAGTAGACCACCTAGTTGTAACCTTTTACAGATTGTTGAGAATTACGCATAAATGCTTATATTCCTTAACACGCCCAAACCAACATGTATTTGAATGACGTAAGACCAAATGATAGTGTCATACCTCAGAATGTAACATGGAAAAATGAGACGAGACGCCCTCATTGTATATCTCCAAAACGTTTACGATAAATCTATGTTAGTTGTTTAACGCCGCACTCAGCAATATTCCAGCTATATGGCGGTGGTCTGTAAATAATCGAGTCTGGACCAGACAATCCAGTCATCAACAGCATGAGCATCGATCTACGCAGTTGGGAAACGATGACATGTGTCAACCAAGTCAGAGGACCTGACCATCAGATCCCGTTAGTTGCTTTTAAGTGAGTGAGTGAGTGAGTTTAGTTTTACGCCGCTTTTAGCAATATTCCAGCAATAGCGCGGCGGGGGACACCAGAAATGGGCTTCACACATTGTACCCATGTGGGGAATCGAACCCAGGTCTTCGGCGTTGCCTTTTAAGACAAGCATGGGTTACAGAAGACCGATTCTAAGCAGGGTCGTCACGAGTCAAATATATATTAAGTTTCCCTCCCCAAGTGGAACACTGCTAAAAGCAACTTATAATAGCATCTGCACACCAGTTGCTCTGCTTGTCGAAAAATGTTTGTACTCACCACGTTGTCGACACACCCAAGACTATACTTGACGCGAAAGTTCTGTGTCAGCACCTTCTCTATAAAACATTGCTGAAATGAAGATAGTGTTCCGCTAAGAATGGTAAATAGAAAAAATGTGTCATATGTATGACCGCGTAGCAGATGACAAGATATAGACCTTATTCAATGTAAAAGTCGAACTGATAATATACTGATACTTTCTCCTATTGTTGTTTCAAGAAACCTAATTAACATAAAAAGAATAACATGAACAAACAACGCAAATGACCAAAAGGTTGATTTGTTGTTTAACGCCAAACAATGGAGTCTGGACCAGACAATCCAGTGATCAACATCATGAGGATCGTTCTACGCAATGGGGATACGGTGACATGTGTCAACCAAGTCAGCGAGCCTGACCACGCGTTCCCGTTCGTCGCCTTTTACGACAAGCATGGGTTGCTGAAGACCAATTCTAATCCGGATCTTCACGGGTCTGGCCAAAAGGAATATTGCAGGCTTTTAATACAATCTCTAAATCCCGAGAGAAGAGAGATGTGAATGCAAGTGCAACAGTTTGAAAGATTCTTGATTTTGTGATTTCATATTGTCTTCGACGAAATGTCAGTATTGTTAAAATTAATCAACGTCACTCGTCATTAACGTTTATTTATGTTTTCTTTAGGCATGCAGTTCGACGCTGCTCTTTTATTGTCATATATTGACCCGTGAAGATCCGGGTTAGAATTGATCTTCAGTAACCCATGCTTGCCGTAAGAGGCGACTAACGGGATCGAGTGATCAGGCACGCCGGCTGATCACTGGATTGTCTGGTCCAGACTCGATTATTTACAGACCGCCACCATACAGCTGGAATATTGCTGAGTGCGGCGTAAAACCAAACTCACTCAGGCATTATGGAATCTGTCAGACTATGTGTCGAACGATATGTATTTTAAACATATTTTATTCACTGAGAAAAGGATTAGGAACAAGTTCTCCAACGTAGAATACCCTCTCCTTGGTATGTACATAGGTAATTTAGATTTCCGCAATTAAAGATGACAGATAGTGGACAAGAAATTAGAATAGAGCTTATACAGAATAATACCAATATGCTATACAAATCGTTTTGTCTCACTAATGAACGATGGCACTAACTTGAATACATTTGTATTTTCACATGATGATAGGTCTGCACTTCCTTCTAACAAAAGTTTAAGGTCGACTGAAATACCTGCTGATGAACAAATGCGCTTTACTGATAACATGAAGTTAACTCTTTGTTGTTTGTACAATGGACATTCAAACAGATAATGATACAAGTTCTCAATAAAATCACCACATATACAAATAGGATCAGTTTTCATTCCAACTCTGTACAAATCAAAGTTCAAACAACTAGCAGAATAAAGCAACTTGGTATGAATAATATTTAATTTTCTTTTACCTCACGACTGACTGACTGACTGAGTTTGGTTTTGCGCCGTAGAATTGGGCTTCACACATTTTACCCATGTGGGGATTCGAACCCGGGTCTTCGGCGTGACGAGCCAACGCTTTAACCACTAGGCTACCCTACCGCCCTTTACCACACGAATAATACTGAGGTGCATATGCATGGTTATCAGTTATACATGATTTAAAAGTAGAAACACTTTTTGAATTTCGAACGGTGGCTGGTAAATTGTTCCAAGAGCATATTGTAGATGGAAAGAAGGATTCTTTTGAGTGTTTAAGTCTTGGAATAGGAATCGATATATTGAGAGAACTGCGTAGATTATACTTTGATTTAGAACTAACATTCAAGGGAAGCAGTTCTTTTAGGTATGGAGGAGCCATTTCATTTTTAATTTTATACATCAAACATAGTTTTCGTTTTCTACGACGATCTTGTAATGTTTCCCATTCAGTTTCAAAATAAAGAAATTCACGTGATGTATATTTTGGTAAACCAGTAACTATTCTCGCTGCTTGTAATTGAATCTGTTCTAACTTATTCATTTGTTCAAGAGTACACCCGATATAATAAACAAGGTGGTTGTGTATTCTGTTCTAAAACAAGCAACCATCCTTCACACAATGTGCATCAGAAGATAATGGTTTGTGTGATGCCTCATGGGAATAGCCAGCGAACACTGGCCTAGAATATACAATCTATGCATCTGAACCACACATGAAAGCCATAAAACCTGACTATGCGGTCAATTTAAGTAAATGGCAGGTGTGGGGACAGTCACTGAACAAAATATTCCAATTTGAAAAGCATCTTGGTATAGAGGTTGTCAACATTTGAATCATGTGCACAGGTTCAGATAGGGAACTCGATGGGTTTTTACGGTTGTGTTCACTTATAATAACAAGAATGGGTTCGACGAGGCAGTTCTGCCTGGGGACCCGTGAAGACAGGGGTTAGAAATGATCTTCAACACCCCATACTAAGAGGCGACAAACGGGATCGGATGATCAGGCCAGACATGGTCGACAAGTGTTATGATGTCCCATTTGCATTGATCGATGTTTGTGATGGTCTGATATTCTGATAGTCTGATGGTCTGATATTCTGATGGTCTGATGGTCTGAGTGCTGCGTTAACCAACCAACCAACCAACAGTTTTTCCTGGGAGACGACCCTTTCGTGTCTGGTATGTGTGTAGAGAGGGAAAGGACCCTGAGCCTGATAATGAGATTAATCAGCATGGCTGTGTCAGGTTAATCTAAATCCCCTATGCTGCATTTATATGTCATAATGTGTGAAACAATCAAAGAAAAGGACCGGGATGAAGTCATCGACATACCTCATCGGCGAGGCATCTGGACTCATGTTCGCAACGTCGTGGGTCATTTATGAAGCTGCATTTGTAGCACACGTTGCCTCTGGGAGCTGCAAAAGGCACAACATGATGTTTTGGTTAAGAGGGGTTTGTAATATTACGACGTTGAATTTGACAGCCTTAGTGAGTGAATGAGTTTAGTTTTACGCCGCACTCAGCAGTATTCCAGCTATATGGCGTCTGGACCAGACAATCCAGAGATCAACAGCATGAGCATCGATCTACGCAATTGGGATACGATGACATGTGTCAACCAAGTCAGTGAGCCTTACCACCCGATCCCGCTAGTCGCTCCCACGACAAGCATGGGTTACTGAAGGTCAATTCTAATCCCTATCTTCACGGGTCTTTACAACCTTAGAATTACTGACTGACTGAGTTTGGTATTACGCCGCTTTTAGCAATATTCCAGCAATATCACGGCGGGGGACATCAGAAATTGGCTTCACTCATTGACCTTGGTATTAAGATATCTTTATGATTACAAACAAAGTCAAAAACAATTTATACTATATCCGTCGAAAATGTGTCTTCTATGACAAAGTGTAATTATAAAATACCACGTTCGCAAGAATTTGAACGATAAATCTGAAACAGTTTTCTGTGTAAATACATTAAGGCATGAATGCATACAAAACAATCTTTATCTTAATTCAACATGGAATTATACATGTATATCAATAAAGGACCAAATAAGGTTTTGTCTAACATACGCCCTGAACTGCAGCCGCCATTGTTACACAGGTTGCCATGGCAACACTCCTCACACTTGAGTCGGTCTTCGTCACTCCTTCTTGAGACTGATCTCCGTACGATTGCCGAGTAACATTCCTGGAACACACCATGGGACTGCGTGTTATCTACTAGTATTTTACTGATCTTGTAACTCTAATTATACGGTTGTTATGGATTAACGCCAACCCGAATGAATGTTATTTTAGAAAATATCACAATAACGGCTTGAGAACAGTGATTGACTAAATGAGTATGGTCTTACGCCGCTATATTCCAGCAATATCAAGGCGTGGGACACCAGAAATGGGCTTCAAACATTATATCCATGTGGGGAATCGAACCCGGGTCTTTGGCGTGACGAGCGAACGTTTACACCACTAGGCTACCCCACCGCCCCTGAATAATAGTGGACATAGGAGGGAAACGTGTAAATAATAAACTGACGATGAGATCTCAAACAAAAGTCTATGAATAAAGGTTTATAATTCTTATTACTTACTGAAATCCTTCGACATCCGACGTTGAAAATACTCGATCCAGGGCTTGTTGCATATTCATCTGTGTAACATTGCTGAAATAGAAGACAATAAAGGAAGATAAGGTGTAGATCAGTTTTTCAGGTACATCATCAAAAAACACGTTGACCAGTATTTTAGATGGATTACAAATCATATTGTTGACCAGTATTTTAGACGAATTACAAATAATCTTGTTGACCAGTATTTAAGACTGATTACAAATCGTCTTGTTGACCAGTATTTTAGACGAATTACAAATCATCTTGTTGACCAGTATTTTAGACGAATTACAAATCATCTTGTTGACCATCATTTTAGATGGATTACGAAATAATCATCATCTTGTTGACCAATATGTTAAGTATTTTAGACGAATTACAAATCATATTGTTGACCAGTATTTTAGACGGATTACAAATCATCTTGTTGACCAATATTTTAGATGGATTACAAATCACCTTGTTGACCAGTATTTTAGATGGATTACAAATCATCTTGTTGACCAGTATTTTAGATGGATTACAAATCATCTTGTTGACCAGTATTTTAGATGGATTACAAATCATCTTGTTGACCAGTATTTTAGATGGATTACAAATCATCTTGTTGACCAGTATTTTAGATGGATTACAAATCATATTGTTGACCAGTAGTTTAGATGGATTACACATCATCTTGTTGTCCAGTAGTGTAGACGGATTACAAATCATCTTGTTGACCAGTATTTTAGACGAATTACAAATCATCTTGTTGACCAGTATTTTAGATGGATTACAAATCATCTTGTTGACCAGTATTTTAGATGGATTACAAATCATCTTGTTGACCAGTATTTTAGACGGATTACAAATCATATTGTTGACCAGTATTTAAGACGAATTACAAATCATATTGTTGACCAGTATTTTAGACGAATTACAAATCATCTTGTTGACCAGTATTTTAGACGAATTACAAATCATCTTGTTGACCAGTATTTTAGACGGATTACAAATCATCTTGTTGACCAGTATTTTAGATGGATTACAAATCATCTTGTTGACCAGTATTTTAGATGGATTACAAATCATCTTGTTGACCAGTATTTTAGATGGATTACAAATCATCTTGTTGACCAGTATTTTAGATGGATTACAAATCATCTTGTTGACCAGTATTTTAGATGGATTACAAATCATCTTGTTGACCAGTATTTTAGACGGATTACAAATCATCTTGTTGACCAGTATTTTAGATGGATTACAAATCATCTTGTTGACAGTAGTATTTTAGATGGATTACAAATCATCTTGTTGACCAGTATTTTAGATGGATTACAAATCATCTTGTTGACCAGTATTTTAGATGGATTACAAATCATCTTGTTGACCAGTATTTTAGATGGATTACAAATCATCTTGTTGACCAGTATTTTAGATGGATTACAAATCATCTTGTTGACCAGTATTTTAGATGGATTACAAATCATCTTGTTGACCAGTATTTTAGATGGATTACAAATCATCTTGTTGACCAGTATTTTAGATGGATTACAAATCATCTTGTTGACCAGTATTTTAGATGGATTACAAATCACCTTGTTGACCAGTATTTTAGATGGATTACAAATCATCTTGTTGACCAGTATTTTAGATGGATTACAAATCATCTTGTTGACCAGTATTTTAGATGGATTACAAATCATCTTGTTGACCAGTATTTTAGATGGATTACAAATCATCTTGTTGACCAGTATTTTAGATGGATTACAAATCATCTTGTTGACCAGTATTTTAGACGGATTACAAATCATCTTGTTGACCAATATTTTAGATGGATTACAAATCATCTTGTTGACCAGTATTTTAGATGGATTACAAATCATCTTGTTGACCAGTATTTTAGATGGATTACAAATCATCTTGTTGACCAGTATTTTAGATGGATTACAAATCATCTTGTTGACCAGTATTTTAGATGGATTACAAATCATCTTGTTGACCAGTATTTTAGATGGATTACAAATCATCTTGTTGACCAGTATTTTAGATGGATTACAAATCATCTTGTTGACCAGTATTTTAGACGGATTACAAATCATCTTGTTGACCAGTATTTTAGATGGATTACAAATCACCTTGTTGACCAGTATTTTAGATGGATTATCATCTTGTTGACCAGTATTTTAGATGGATTACAAATCATCTTGTTGACCAGTATTTTAGATGGATTACAAATCACCTTGTTGACCAGTATTTTAGATGGATTACAAATCATCTTGTTGACCAGTATTTTAGGTGGATTACAAATCACCTTGTTGACCAATATTTTAGACGGATTACAAATCATCTTGTTGACCAGTATTTTAGGTGGATTACAAATCACCTTGTTGACCAATATTTTAGACGGATTACAAATCATCTTGTTGACCAGTATTTTAGATTGATTACAAATCATCTTGTTGACCAGTATTTTAGATGGATTACAAATCATCTTGTTGACCAGTATTTAAGATAGATAACACATCATCCTTTTAACAGTATTTTAGATAGATTAGAGCATAATTAGAGTTGACCTAAGTATTAGGCAGCATTGTGTTGATCAGTATTTTTGGTATATTCCAAGACTCCATTTTAAACAGTATTTTGAGGAAAACGACAAAAATCACACGTCAAGGGGATGGGTGATAAAAGACAAATAGTGTTCACAAACAAAGTCTTTAGATAGCACAAATGTATGAATTTACATTCCTTTAGCTGTTATGGATTGATACCATCTGCGTTAGACGAATGTGTGTACCATTCTTGAAATCAAGTGCCATTCCTTAGTTTCAATTCGTAGATGATTCACCCATAATTAGGGACGGGTAAAATTATCGATAATCGGAATTATCGTCGATAGGAAAGATCATTAATGATTATCGATATGAAAAAGATGTTATCGATAATATCGCACGTTAACATTTGTGATAGAAAAATATTTCTCACACAATATACAAATATAGGACTGCTTCTAAATTATGTTCAGGACGCTGTTTTGTTAATAATCCATGCAAAACCATGTCACCACTTACTAGTGATGTGAAATATATTCATTTCTTTCAGATATGTTTGGCATTTTTGCACCAGCTTATATATATATATATGTATCAATAATCGACGATATTTAGTTACGATTTATTGATCCCTATGATCTATATCGATAGCCAGCCATAATGACTCACCCTTAGTACTCTCAATCTGACACCACAAGTGATACCAGGAAGTCTGTCCGCCATGCTAAAGGACCTTAAGTCTCGCGAGGCGCTACTTCCGGTACAAAGAAGGTTCCAAGCTCCCTTTTTGCGCGTCAACTTGCGATATGCGAGACGGGGCTGGTACCAGATCTCCGACGACAAGCGCATATTCGAGAACTAGATCTGGATCAAAATTGCGCGACCGCCAAATATGACTTTACTAGACCGGACCAATCGTACAACCATGCTTTACCATCACAGCGGCTGACAGTCGTAAGAGTTGGCTAATTTGGGGATGGTTAGATCAGAAATTTGTTATTTCCTCAAGGATTATCGGTTCCTCACTGTCACCTGACAACCATGAAACCATTCGAAAAGATGCGAAACGTTGTGTGTCACCGGAAGTACTAAGGTCTCGCGAAGTGCCGTGACCTACTTACGGACTCCTGAGGTACCTGTATGACCAGTTGACCCACCTCATCATGTCCACACTGTGTGGTCACGTTACACAGATACGGTTCCTCCACACTTGCACAGGAGTAACAGCGTGGACCATCTGAAATCAGATCCAAGCCTGAACAATTCACTGATTTTAGTAAATAAATGTCGGGCGTTATGGTTGAAGATAAAGGCCTTGTGAATCTTTTAATTCGTTTGTTTGTTGCGCCGAAGGCATGTTTCCGGTTCCCCGAATGAGTAAAGGTTTGAATATCCGGTTCCCGCCTTGACATTGTTGCAACCGGTGAAGATGAAATTGGTCTTCAGTAACCCATGCTTGTCGTAAGAGGTGACTAACGGGATCGGCTGGTCAGACTCTTGACCTAGTTGACACATGTCATCGTATCCCAACTGCGTAGATCGATGCTCATGCTGTTGATCACTGGATTGTCTGGTCCAGACTCAAATATTACAGACCGCCGCCGTATAGCTGGAATATTGCTGAGAGCGGCGTTAAACAACAAACCAATTATCCATCGACATTGTAGGAATATCTGTGAAAGGTACTATACGATAGCTGTAAACTAGATTAATTAATATCATGTAATATTCCTCTTGTTGTTGTAGTCGTCGTTGTTGTTGATGTATACAAACCTGAGTCATTCCTATGGACTGCAATACTTGGAGCGCAGGTTGACGTGTTCAACAGAGACATAACTGTAACGCAATTAACACATATTATTTCATAATTATTTGACACATCTTTAATCACTAACAATACTATTGTTTACAGACAGCAATCATGCAGCTCAAATATTGCAGATAAATAAACAAACAAATAAACAAACAAACAAACAAACTTACAAAGAACAAGTATTTCCGGGAACATAGCGTCTCAGGAGACTATTGGTTCTGTCTCAGATTAATCGTCAGGTGGTCAAGTTTTCCGACCCAATGGCTATTCACCGGGATACAAAGCAAGAAGTTGTTCTAATTGTGTAATGTTCTGTGCAGCTTTCTGCAAAGTAGGATCAACACCTAATTGTCCTATCTTATCTCGCGCCAGACCTGCAAGCTGTTCGTTCTTGAGGGCGGTGTTCTTTATATACACTGTACTGTGTTCAAGAACTTTGGAAGCGTGTACCGTTCTGTAAATATTCAACACTAAACTAATTACTTCACAATTGTTTATTTTAACTTTGGTTCATGTATAACATTTCTTTTAAGAATATTCTCAAATATAAAGCTAGACACTGAGAGTGAATAATGTATTATGCTTCTTTAGCATTATTCCAGCGATGGGGGCACAAGAAGTCGGCTTCACATATGACAGCCATGTCGGGAATCGAACCCTGGACGAGCGAACGCTTAAGCCACCAGGCTACCCGACACACAAGAACCCGTAAATAATGCAAACCCGTAAATAGTGTTAGCCGTTCTTCAATATTATCCATTTCTTACTCAGGTAAGAAATGGATTTCAGTAACTATTTTCAATATTTAATTATTCTCACACAACGCGGTTGACTGTGATTTACCCAATACGGGACCACTGAAGCTAAACATCCAGATACTTTTAGTGGACTCTTGTAACGTGTAGTATGGTGCGGTGCCGAGGAACATGTGGTTGGAAAGGTTATACAGACTGACTGATGTATGGTATTTGAAAACATCACTTTCTATATATTGTATTGTAGTATATTTCAGGATATTATCAGAAACAAATTGTGGCGTGTTTCAGGCTGACAAAGGCTGTTTTTTATACGGTTTTCTATACGGTTTTCTCTACTTGTAGGGTAACCTGGGCCGTGCTTCCTTTCCCCACATGGGTACAATGACTGAAGCCCATTTCTGGTGTTGCCCGGGTGATGTTTCTGGAATGTAAGTAAAAGCGGCGAAAAACCATATTCACTCACTCTAATTGGCCTTTGGTTGGTTGTTGGCTTGATAATGGTGCCGTATCTTTCAAAACATTCGCATTTAAAGAAAAGCCAAGATTACAATTAATGACTTGATATGTTGATGAATTTCAACAATGTGTTCAGCTTCTAAATTATATTAAAAGACATTAGGATGGTCATAGTGTGAACGATACAGACTGTGTTTGCCAAAGGAATATTTGCCATACAGCACCAGTAGGGAGTGAACGCGTGGCATGGTTGGAGTGTGAGTGAGTTTCGTTTTACGCCGCACTCAGCAATATTCCAGCTATATGGCGGCGGTCTGTCTGTGCATAATCGAGTCTGGACCAGACAATCCAGTAATCAACAGCATAAACATCGATCTACACAATTGTGACACGGTGACATGTGTCAACCAAATCAGTGAGCCTAGTGAGAGAGGTAGAGGTTAGTTTTACGCCGCATTCAGCAATATTCCAGTTATATGGCGGCGGTCTGTAAATAATCGAGTCTGGACCAGACAATCCAGTGATCTACAGCATGAGCATCGATCTGCGCAATTGGGAACCGATGACATGTGTCAACCAAGTCAGTGAGCCTGACCACCCGATCCCGTTAGTCGCCTCGTACGACAAGCATGGGTTACTGAAGATCTATTCGAATCTTCATGGGTAGGCATGACTGGAAGAAATTAAGAAATGCCTATCCAGTAGTTATTCTCATGCCAGTATAAAGAATATGAATATGGCAATACAATTTCCATAATCGTAGACAAGTCATGTGTTTATGGACCACGTTCAAATAATGATTATGCCAGATCATTCCCAGAAGGTGAGCGCATGCTGTCACAATCACACGCGAAGGCGATGCAATTGTTCTCATGTACAAGCGTCGGAACATATGATACAAATCCAAATTGGGAATTGCATTGACCATAAAAGCCCTTGAAGGCTTTATTGAATTGAATAGTTTAACACCGATCAAACAATCTTTAGCAGTAGTCTTGTACCGATTGCACTTCAAAAGTGGAGAGACATAGAAACCAAAGGTTCTCTTCTCTCGACGCAAAAACAAAGGTGGCTATTCCAAAGTTGAATTGAGCTATCTGTCTTGTTCTTCAGTCTGTTGGATAGCTTTTTTCACGCACAGATCTAAATATGAAGCAGATGAGACAGTTTGACAAGTTTCTAGCTCAAGTGGGATTGACCACTTGACTATTGTCCCCAATATTAGATTATCAGTATGTTTAAATCTTCTTCGCATCATTCCCGTTTTGTTTTGGAAATCGGTTGAGGAACATCCAATAAATAAATCCCAAATCGCAAAGCAAACATTTATTGAATTCACCTTTATACACTATAGAATAATTAGGTAATGTTTTTGTTTATGTAAGCATATTTATTGGACATTTTGGGGGATTTGATTTCGCAAGCATGTATACTTGTTATGGGTTCACAATATCAACTGGAAGCTAAATACGAAAAATCAAAATCAAACACAAATCAGATTTCCCCAAAATCCCCAACACATAAAAGTCAAAGTGGAAATCATAAGACTGCATTGCCAAAAGATAAGGACAGGTGCTTCTGAAAGGGATTAAGCGTCTTGTGCTTTCCAGGGGCATACGTCATTCACGCTTAGTATTCGTTTGATGTTTCACGCCCTTCATAGAAGAACGTTGAGTGACTGGTATGAGTAGTGATGATTTCAATCATAATTGTATAACACTTCATTGGACACGAAGCTTGACACTCCAACTCAGCAAAACATTGACTGATTGATTGATTGTTGTTTAACGCCGCGATCAGCAATATTCCAGCTATATGGCGGCGGTCTGTAAACAATCGAGTCCGGACCAGACAATCCAGTGATCCTCAGCATGAGTATCGATCTACGAAATTGGGATACGATGACATGTGTCAACCAAGCCAGCGAGCCTGACCACCCGATCCCGTTCGTCGCCATTTACGACAAGCATGGGTTACTGAAGATCAATTCTAACCCGGATCTTCACGGGTATCTGATTTCTTACAATGAGATGCCTTGTCATAAGTTTAAAGAAACAGAGGAACAGAATTGTTCAAATGATGATTAATCGGATGTTATGCAATTATCAAGATTTCTCAACATTTAATTATTCTCTCACAAGGCAGTTGACTGTGATGTACCCAATACGGGTCCATTGAAGCTGAAACATCCAGATTGTGTCCTCCAGATACTTTTGGTGGCTTTTATAATGTGCGATTTGGTGCGGTGCGGATGAACATATGATTCTAAATGTGTGGTATTTAAAACATACACTTTCTATATAATATCATTGTACTGTAGTATATTTCATAGTATTATTCAGGGACCAATTGCCCATCTTCTGTGTTTTCAGTGTTCGTTCACCATCTGATTTTGCTCCTGATTTTTCATTTCATTATTCCTGTCATCTTGGATTTAGGTGTCTCCAAGTTGTCATAAGCCGATTAACCATACATGCGTGTAATACCATTTAAACATAATTTTAATGTTTCTGTCATCTGCTTCCATAAGTAACGTTGTCAGATCTTGATGATGTCCTACTCAACATGTCCATTTACGAGCCTCTGTAGAGTGTGCTGGTCGGTGGTACATCATCAGTGTTGCATCTGTCGGTGGTGCAGCAGTAGTCGCAGCTGAAGTCTATCTGGTCCTGAAGATGCTGGTGGAGATTCACACACTCATCTCTATCTGAAGTCTGCTGCCACCACAACTTCTCACATGTCTGTTTAGAGGCACAGCTGCAAAACGTCAGGATAGATAGATTAAAACATATGGATGAACAACTTCTTAATTACCTTACATTTTGTCATCACTTGTTTGATAACGGTGTTTGCAGCTTCAACAAAACGTCGCTCACATTATTGTAAAGAAGTTGTATGTCAACTGAACTCTCCCCGTTATTCATCACATCAACTTCTCAAAGAAGTTCTAAATGCCTCTCAAGGAAGAAGTTGTCAGAATGGACATTTGAAAAAAATCACTGGATTGTCTGGTCAGATTGGGATTTTACTTCATCATATTGCTGAAAACGGCTTAAATATTACACACGCACGTAAGCACGCACGCATGTAAGCACGCACTCACTCACACACACGCGCGCGGCTGACACAACTTAGCGCAGTTGGGATACGATGACAAGTGTGAACCAAGCCAGCGAGCCTGACCACCCGATCCCGTTAGTCGCCTCTTACGACCAGCATGGGTTACTGAAGACCAGTTCTAACCCAGATCTTCATGATCGAAGGACTGGAGAAATAACAGCAGGTTGTGGTGACACTTACCTCTTCGTCACTGTCACTTGACCACTACTCGACACCTTGATATTCGTGTAGCAGTATTTCGTTGGATATTCACACTTCTGGTAATCGTGGGACACAAAACACATGAATGACGAGCAGACTTGGCAATACACTGAAAAACAGAAATGACGCATTCTACAGAGGGGAAATGTTTTTGAACCACGTGAAGATCCGGGATTCAGCAAGAGATTTGGAATTGAGCAAAAGGTGACTAACGGATCGGGTGGTCCAACTCGCTGACGTGGTTGACACATGATGACTCAATTATCATATGTGACCATTAGTTTATATATATGAAGAAATCTTAGACATGAATTTAAGTTTTACAAATGTGTTGGGCTCGAAGATTGTCATTTGGAGCATTACAGTTAAAATTCCACGTATCTAATTCCTAAGGATTTTCACATGATTAAATTACAATCTACCTCTGGGTATAACTTACCTCCTGCAGGTGCTGCTGTTGTGGTTGTTTTGATTGTCGTAGGTGTTGTAGTTGTTGTAGAAGGTATTGTAGTTGTTGTAGTGGTAGTTGTTGTAGATGGTGTCGTTGTGGTTGTTGTTGAAGGTGTGGTGGTGGTAGTTGTTGGTGGTGTCGTTGTGGTTGTTGTTGGAGGTGTGGTGGTGGTAGTAGTTGTTGTAGTGGCAGTTGTTGTAGATGGTGTCGCTGTGGTTGTAGTGGTTGTTGTTGAAGGCGTCGTGGTGGTTGTGGTGGTAGTTGTTGTTGATGGTGTCGTTGTGGTTGAAGGTGTTGTGGTAGTGGTGGTGGTTGATGGTGT